ACACCTGACTAAACTCATTCGAGATACTGTACGCCTCAACTCAAACCACTCCTGGGAGCGTTTACTAACCTTTCCCTTTCGTATCCTTCATATCGAAAAAGGCACGGACCGCGATTTGTCGCTCACGACACTTATTAAACGCAACTGCAGTACCAACCTAAATCCGACCTTATTCCAATCCCCAGTTTCCTACTCCCCAACATTAATTCGTAACCCATTAAAATATATAGAAAATAAGATAAGTGATGGCGACATCAAGGGTGCTGCGCGTTTATTATTTTCTAACGATGCGGTGGCACCGGACTCTCCAGAGACTCTCTCTGCCCTGCAAGCCAAACACCCGTCCCCAGCATGCAACGAGACTTTCCCCACAGCACCTGGCCTCGCAGACCAACCGCTTCAAACATCCAAAGATGCCGTCCGCTTTGCACTTTCTTCCTTTCTTCCAGGATCAGCGGGCGGCCTTGATGGCCTATCCCCACAACACCTTAAGGACCTTACCAGTGGATGCTGTGGTGAAGCCGGCGACTCTCTGCTTGAGGCCATTACCTCACTGTGCAATTTGATGCTGAGTGGGAAAGTTGCCACCGATATCGTCGACCTACTATATGGAGCCAATTTATGCGCCCTTAGAAAAAAAGACGGCGGCATCCGCCCCATCGCAGTAGGTTCGACATATCGACGTCTCGTTGCTAAGATCTGCTGCAAAGCTACAGCGGATACGCTCGGGACTTATTTCCAGCCTATACAACTTGGGTTTGGCTCTAAAGGCGGCTGCGAGGCTGCCGTACATTCGCTCCGAGCCTTTGCAGAGTCCAAGGGTGGTGAGGTAATTTTAAAAGTCGACGTCAAAAACGCTTTCAATACCGTTGATAGGGGCACCATGCTGTCACAAATCAGACTGAGGGCTCCAGCTCTTTATAACTTTATGTGGCAGTGCTACAGCAAACCATCAAAACTTTTATATAAAGACCACCTCCTATCCTCCTCAGTCGGATGCCAGCAGGGTGACCCTCTCGGCCCAGCCATTTTTAGTCTGGCTATACACCCAATCATCGACCATCTAAATTCTAAATTAAATATGTGGTATCTTGATGATGGCACCCTAGGAGGCGACGTGACCACAGTTCTCTCTGATTTTCTTATGCTTAAAAACGAGTTTAGCAAAATAGGCCTGGAACTAAATTTTGCAAAATGCGAGATTTTTGTTCCAGAAAGCCTCGACAACAGGGAGGCAATCATTTCTAAATTCCAACTAATAGCTCCAAGCATAAGACTGTTAGATAAGAAATCACTTTGCCTCCTAGGGTCCCCGATTTTTGATGAATCACTCCCAGTTTTTATAGATCAAAATTTAAAAAAATATGAAGAAGTTTTTGAACCTTTACTCAAAATTAACTGCCAAATGGCCTATGTCATAATCCGGTACTGTCTTTTCGTCCCTAAATTTACGTATGTCTTGCGATGCTGTCCACTTTGGAAATTTCCCTCTCTCTTAACAAAGTTGGACGGTGTCATAAGACATACTCTCTCCTCTGTCTTAAATATAAAATTTGACCTCCGTTCCTGGACCCAAGCATCACTCCCAGTTAGGTTCGGTGGTTTGGGTGTACGCAACACTTCGGACGTCTCCCTCCCGGCCTTCATTTCTTCCATACACTCTACCGAACCACTCGTTGCGAAAATACTTGGGCGTCCTTTGAGCGAGTCCTTGTTCTCGCTTCTAGATGAAGCCGTAGCAACCTGGAGTGCAGCATGCCCTGACACCGACGTCCCGACGGACCCTGCCTCCCAGCGACTTTGGGACGCGCCACTCTGCAGGCTGAAACGCAATGCGCTTGTAGAAACAGCTAGCAGTCCCGCAGACCGTGCGCGTCTCTTAGCCGTTGGCGAGTGGGAGTCTGGACTATGGCTGCAGGTACTGCCTTCCGCGAATATCGGTACGCTCCTAGACCGCTCAACTTTTCGCATAGCCACGTCCTTGCGCCTTGGCTCGCCCTGTGTCGTCCCCCATCTTTGCCGGTGCGGAGCGTTTGTCACCAACCTCGGCCATCACGGTCTCTCCTGCACAAGGAGTGCCGGCCGTATAACCCGCCACCACTGCATCAACGATGTCATCCGCAGGGCCCTCGCCTCCGCCAGCGTGCCTGCCGTTTTAGAACCAAGCGGCCTGGCGCGCGACGACGGTAAGAGGCCCGACGGCATGACACTCGTTCCTTGGAAGCTGGGACGGGCACTTGTGTGGGACGCAACCTGCGTCGACACTCTGGCCCCGTCTCATATTCCCGGAACCTCGATGCAGGCTGGCGCGGCTGCTTCGACCGCAGAGGCCCTTAAGCGCCGCAAGTATGATTGCCTCAGTGGAGACCTCACATTTGCGGCGTTTGGAGTCGAGACTCAGGGACCCTGGGGCTCCGGTGCCCACCATCTTTTCAAAGAAATCGCAAAAAGATTGGTGGAGACCACTGGAGACCGCAGAGCTGGCGGCTATTTCGCCCAGCGCATAAGCCTCGCCATTCAGCGGGGAAATGCCGCCAGCGTCCTGGGAACCTTTGCCGACGGGGAAGACCTAGGGCAGCTATTTTTTTAATATTTTTAATATTTGTATAGTTTTAGTATAGTTTTAGTTTAATATTTGCCATGTTACTTATTTATGTAATCAAATATATATTTTCTTATTCTTATTATATATTCTAATTATAACTATATATTATTAGCCTACCTGCAAAAGTACTTTCTGTTTTACAACCCTGTACGTACTACTTACTAACAACAAGTAAGTACAGGGAGTTAACTGGTGTAATCATAATACCCTGGCTCCCAATTTATTTTCAAATAAATTTTTTATAAACATACATATATATGCTCAAAACAATCTCTATAGCGCGATTCATCAAATGTACCGAACATTTAACAAAACACGTGCTTGCAATCTGTAACCGAACTTTTTGGCTATCAGTTACATCACTTTTCCGTCATTCAAAGAGGATTTTGTGCTTGCTAATGAATAGCACATAAACGTTGTAGTTATGCTAACTCTATGTAAATAATCACCTCAAGGGTGTTTGTTTATAACAATGCATTGTTATGTTACAGATTACCGAAATCAAATTTGACAACTTATAACAAAATGGTTTAGTATTTTTTAACTAAACTTGATTAACTGAAATGATAATGTAAAATGCAAAAGAACAGTTGGTCTATGAGTGACTGATTTTTTTTTATTAGTAAACAAAGTTTGGCTATCCATCGGTTAATTCAACTAGTTTTGTAAATTACTTTTTTCAGTGTGGATACTTACAGCACCAAGGGTAGGTACCACTCAAGCGTTGCCGGGTTTGAAGGAAAAGGTTAACCCGCCTTTTGAAGACATAACACATAATATTAACAATATAACACAGCCAAAAATACCAATACGAACAGCGCAATCTCCTTAAATCGAATGTATGCCGATCAGCGGCAAAAGTATTACAATCAGGTAATACAAACCGCGCCTGTCGCTATTAAGCTACGAAAATTCAAATCGCTTGAATAAATAATATGGAATCCAATTTCGTGTAAAGCTCCGGCTTTGATATACCTACCTATAAAAAATTAAGCTTTCGTGGAATACACGCGTCGTGTTTGCCACTAAATCCCGTATCCACGACGATTCTCTAAAGGATTTAATTTCCTGTCTGCGAAATGAAAATCGATTAGTTTGATTTCCGCGGCCGGCGGGCGCTCCAATAGTTTCCGATGTGGCTCGCACCGAATTTAATAAGACACCGCCGTTAATCTATGTGCGACAGGTACCCTTTATCAATGGATGGCTAACCAATTTATTTGAAATGTTCATTAAAATTCTTACGGTTGGTTTGTAATGTGAACACATAGAATCCGAAAAGGGTCTGAAAATTCTGGAATTGTTGTAAAACACCTGCTTAAACTGTCACTGCTTTTCCAATATCTTTTTCTATTGCGAGATAGTTGAAAGAAATTTCAAATTAAAATATATTCATACTAATAACTATATTTCACTAGTGGGTACACGAAACTTCGGCTGAATGGAAAAGATTGTTTCCGATACAAACTTATCAACTCCTTCAATAATGAATTCGGAGATAAAAATCTCCTATGCTATACTGTCTAAATCGGTACAGCGGTGAAGTAACAGATATACTTTCGCATTTGTAATATCAGTATGGATATACATTGAGTACAGATAATGAATTTCTCCTTCTATAGAAGGAACAAAGTTTATAAACCTTGTTGTAAATAATGGTAGCTTGCTAGAGATTCCTACCTTTACAATAAGGCCTTCTTTTGTATGTTTCTGCTCTGTATCACATTGGTTAAAATTGTTTTGTTGTGCAATTATAATCTTCATTCATCGTATTACGCGACCACTGCGCCAATTACGACTGATCTTGAAAATTTACTCTTGTTTTATTTATAGTAACAGTATTTCTGTTATAGCAACTTTAAAAATAATTTATATTAAGAGTTTTTGATACGTAGTAAAAAAAGGTACAAGAAGCAACTGTTAAGATACATACAGTTTATTTAACATTTTTTTACATTAGAAATTATATTATTTTTATTTAAAAACTACACATTTAATTATCTTCAAACGTTGTTAGAACATCTAAAGACAACTAACGGCCAGTTTTAATAATCAAACTCAAGCGGCAGGCCTACTCAAACTTAGTTGCTAAAATATTTTTGTGACTTTAATAACAGCCGTTGCCATGAAACGTAACCAGATTATCCTTACCTTTGCTACCGACGGTTAAATATTGAACATCGCCGTATATAAGATTTTCTTAATCTATTGCACTTCTCGTGCTTGTTATATGAATAGGTCTTGATAAGTGGTGAAAATGCTACAACACGCGTCATTGAAGACCTAAGACTGATGTTTTATTGCTGGCACGTGTAAAACTTTGATTGTCGTGTTGGGACGAATCCACGAACCTTTACAATATAAACTTTTAGTATTATAACAAGCATTTACTTACTCAACAATGCGGCGCACGGGTTCGGTCGTGCTGAAACAAACAAACGAGTAACTTTTAATTAAAATCCTTCATTGCAAACTTGATGATTATTCTTAACAATGAATTAGAAACTCGAAATTCTAATTTGCGCCTCATTTCGCTTTGGGTGGTTACTATTTTTGTTTTAATAAAGGGGTGGGGAAAACAAGCGTATGGCTGGCTGATGTTGATCAGCCTCAATAAACATATAGACGCAGCACTGTTCCTTCAAATTCTCTTCCGTGGTATTAAATAAAACAATTTATTTATTTTCATTTGGGAAACATACAGTTTTACACAATTCAATTAAGTAACACTTATTACTATTTCATAAACCAGTTAAGTTTCCACAGATTTATAATAATTATAATAATTAAACATTTTTAATATTGGCTGTATATGTCAAATACGTTTGCTTTGTGTTATTAAGCTAAGAACCTTTTAAAAAAAATAAACATTCATGTCATTTCATGTCGCTTTTTTTTGCGGACTTCCGAGGCGGGATGTTTAATTTTCTTTTTCGTTGAATAAAAAAAATATTTTCCTTGTTTAATCACATAGTAAACTAGCTTTTTTAAGAGAAATGAGTTCCGAAAGTGGTGGTAGTAAAAAGAGAAAAGCTGAAACCCCAGTTACTAATCTCTCCAATAATGAAAACTTAAACCCTTTTGCACCATATTTCAAGCAGAATCACATCAGAAGCTATCCAGAGAATTCTCCCGGTACTGTCTTTCCTGTTTATATTCAAAGCAGTAATGAAAACATTAAATTTAGCAACAAATACCCCATTTATTTAAACAATATATTCAGCAGATATAACAAAGGAGTCAAGGAAATCAAACGAGTCAATGCACTACGCTATACTGTTTTATTTGATAATCCAAAAAATGCGAACTCACTCCTGGCTAACACTAATTTTCGGGCACAACATGAGCTTAAAGCATTCATTCCAGCCTCAAACTCCGAATGTATTGGAGTAATCAAGTACATCCCGACCAACTTGAGTTGCAAGCACCTCTTTGACACTTTAAATACATCTCAAGAAATATTATCTGTTCGCAGATTTACAAAGAAAACTCCAGAAGGTGTGGTTGGACTGCAAACTTTGTCTATCATATTTCTGGGCAAAGTAAAGTAATAGACAGACTCTTGGTGCATATTTCCATTTCCATCTTTACCAACAAGTTACGCTACAACAACAAGCTCACCTATGCCAGCCAAAATTAAAAAGATTAATAAAAGTGAGAAGGACATTATATCCGAAATTTTAAATAATGAAAAAATCCTTAAAGCCACGATAGAGACACTGTTATGTTTTTATAGTAAAGAAAATGACTTACCAATAAATTCTAAGACAATTAAAGAAAAATTCAATAAAAATTTTAGTTGTAACAATGGATAATAGTCAGATAAAGGTAATACAACACAATATACAAAGTTTAAAATCCAAATCAGCTGTTTTTAGTATGTTTTAGAATCTGAAAGCGTAGATATTTGCTTATTAAGTGAAACTTGGCTTGCGCCTAAAGATGTTGTGAATTTTAGAGGTTACAATTTATTCAGAAAAGATTCCGCAAACGGCTATGGTGGTGTTGCCATCTTATGCAGAAAAAATATAATTAGTTCAGTTATTGATACATATAGTAGCAATAGTATTCAAACAAAAGCGGTTAGCATTAAAACATTGATTGGCAAAATAACTTTATTCAATGTTTATTGTCCTCCAAGAAGTGGTCGCTTTCCTATAAATACTTTGAAAAATATTATAACGTCACTACCTTCACCATTACTAGTTATGGGTAACTTTAATGCACACCACACAGCATTTGGTAGTTTGTCGAACAAGCCTCGTGGTATTCAGTTTAATGATATGCTTGATGAAACAAATATGTTCCTATTAAACAATGGAGAAGTTACTACTCTAAACCGTCCTTACCAATCTGCTTCCGCGATTGATTTAGCGTTTGTTTCCCCTAATTTAGCTCCGTCCATAAAATGGTCTGTATATACAGGAGATACACTGGGCAGTTATCATTTTCCTACTATTATACATTTTACATGTCACACTTCAAATATTTAATTATGAACGTTCTACTGATAAATTTTTATATAACAAAGCAGATTGGTCAGGCTATGCATTAAAATCTGAACTACATTTCAATAATTTATTATCAGAGCGCGATCCTCTGATGGCCTAGAACAAATTTTGTGAGTTTGTTAATTTATTAAGAGATGAATTTGTACCCTTGTATAGGAATAAATGTCACGACGTTAAAAATTATAAACCAGTTCCATGGTGGAATGTGAATTGTACAAATGCTGTCAAGGAAATCCTACAGACCTATATCACATTCTTCCTGTCTATGTAAATTATTCGAAAATATGTTAAAAACTAGATTAGAGCTCTATGTAGAATCGAGGTCTATCATTCCTCCAGATCAATTTGGGTTCCGTAAAGGACGTAGTACTACAGACAGTTTGGTTAAATTTTGCGGAGATATACAAAATGCGTTTTTTGATAACAGTTACTTAATTTGCACTTTCCTTGACGTTACCGGTGCTTTCGATAATGTAAATTTATCCACGCTAGTCCACATTCTTCATTCTTTTAATATACCAGGGAAAATATGTCAATGGATCTATAATAATTTCAATTCACGTTCTGTTTAGTTCTGTTTATGTCAAATATAATAATATTCTACACGGTCCAAAATTGGCACATAAAGGAGTAATGCAAGGAGCCACTTTCTCACCTTTAATGTATTTATTATATACGTCATTGATACATAAATATGTGCATTTAAAAAAAATATCAGTTCTTCAATATGCAGATGATATTGTTATTTATACAAAAAATAAAAATTTAACACAAGGTGTAAATTCATTAAATGAAGGACTAGATTCGCTATGTTCTTTTTATAAAGATATGCTCCATTTAGATATTAACCCACATAAAAGTTCTTCTTTGAGTTTTAGTAATAAGATAGATTATAACGCTGTTAATATAAATATGACTATGAATATTGTATATGACTCTGTAAATATCAAATTAGTAAATGAAAAAAGATTTTTAGGTGTAATATTTGATTCTAAAATGCATTTTAAGTCTCATGTGGTAAATACTGTACAAAAAATGCCAAAAAGCAGAAATATAATGAGATGTCTCACGAGTGTTGATTGGGGCATGGACCCCAAATTACTGAATATGATTTTTAAATCCATTGTTAGAAGCCATTACGATTATGGTTTAATAATTTACGGGAAATTTTTAAGCCAACCTTTATTTAAGAAAATAGAAGTAACCCAAAATAAGGGATTAAGAATTATTACTGGAGCAATGTGCTCAACTCCTATAAATTCGGTTGAAATACTGCCTATATAGGCTGGTATACTGCCTATTATTGTTAGACTACGTTACCTAACTGAAAAGTTTTATGTTAAAGTTTTAGCGTCTAAAGAATACTCAAATTTATATAAACACAATAGACTATTGCAAAATGATCATATTTTTGAATTAAATAATATTTGTGAATGTATAGACCATAAAGACAAATGGGATTTAGGCTCATTAGAAGTACAACTTACTACACCTTCCATTCTTTCTGAAAGAGTATCAAATAATAATGACATTTTATATTTTGTTAATACTGAGAAAAAAGAATACCGACGGATATATACAGATGGATCTAAAACGGAAAACAGTACAAAAGCAGCATATTACGACTCTTTATTAAAATTTGGGCGTTGTTTCACTTTAAACGAAAATTCTTCGATCTTTACTGCGGAAGCATATGCTATATGTGCAGCTTTACAGTATGCCATTGCTTTAGCTGACATCAATATTTTAATAGTGACTGACTCATTAAGTGTTTTAAGTTGCCTAGAAAATATTCATATATCCTATAAGAATAATATATTTATTAATAAAATAAGACAGTACATTTATGATAATCCTGAAAGACAAATTGAGTTCTTATGGGTGCCATCCCATAACGGGATAACAGGGAACGAAACTGTTGACAGATTAATGAAAATTCCAACTCCTGCCTACATTAATCCACAATATGCAATTCCACCTGTTCCAATGACGGATTACCATTCAGATCTGAAGCATCGCATGTTCAAACATTGGCATGAATATTGGGAATTTACCAAACAATTTAAGGGAAAGTGGTACGCAAGTATCCAAGATAAGGAAGATTCGGTGCGCACTTACATAGATTAAACTTAAAATCCTCAGGAACTTGTGAATATTGTGATAATGATGGAGCTACACTAGATCACCTTATTTTACATTGTCCCGCCTTTAACATATTACAAGAATTATTTTAGTAGATGGCTTACTGAACATATTTAAAGATGATGACATTCCCCGCCTCTTGCCATCTATTCTCAAGAATTTTGAAACATATAAAATTTTATATGACTTCATCTCCGCTACGTTTGTGCACTTGTAAAAGAAAGAAGATACCCTTAAACAACAAAGATAAATATGAAATGAAGTCATAATAATAAAGAATTGGCTGTATGGATTTCATCCAAGGCCGTTAAACTTTAAAAAAAATGGTTCAAGCCGTCTTTTTTCTTTTCCAACCAAAATTAATAAAATACTAAAATCAGTAATTAGGATAATACCACCTCTGAATATTTCCTCACACGCGGAGCCCTAAAGTTTAAATAACTTCCTAAATAACCTTATTTTATGATAGCAGCTACAAAATTATAATTTAGTGCTCTCTGTCGAAGACGGACGAAAGCCTAAAACATATCAATGATTCTGATAACTTTTACACAATAATACTGAAAAATATAGGTTATGCTGTAAACTGAATTAGTGCAAGGTTTAAGTCGCCCAATTGATAAAGAGAGAATTTTATATGGAAGTCTGTTGAGGTACCAATAGAATGGGCACTTTAAAGGGATGCTGAGGAGTTAAACCTATACTATTACGCACAAAAGGCCCACTTGAATTTCAATCGAATTTTGTAAAAGGCAAAAGAGCCGTTTGATCT